CAATTGAATACCCTGCATTATAGCAACAACAACAATAATAATAATAATAATAATAATAGCAATAATAATTGGGAGGGGGGGCGCGGCTGTTCTCATGTTCTCTGAGGGGAGGATGACCTTCCCACACTTTGAAAACCCCTGAACTAGATGCTTTTAAGTGCGACACATTTCCACATTTCCATCTTGTGCCATTTTCCTGCTTCCTTTACTTGTCTTCTGCCATGCAATTCATGGTAAACATCTGCGCTGGAATTACGAGAAGAAGTTAGGGGCAACCTTGGTAATGTGATCAGTTTGCATTGCATTTTTTTTTACACATGTTTAGTTTAGTTTTACAGCCCTTGTATTTTCTTCTCCTGAAATGTAAATCGCCTCACTTCTCAGAAAAGTAAACATTAAATGTGTTAACAGCAGTCTTGTTAAAATCGAACAGGTAGCAATGTTAATCCCTAAAATGTGAGACAGAAATATTGCTCATATTTTCTACCCATGGAAAATAAACGCTTATTCCATAAATTCAACAAGTTAGGAAAACAGACATTATTGTTGGGGAAATATTACCCAAGGCTCATAACTTTGACCCAGTTTATCAGTTTATTCTTTCCTGACTGAGCACAGGCAACTGCAACTGCAACCTTTTTTGCTGTGCACTCAGTGTTTTGTCTCCCTGTTCCTGCCTGTTGGCGTCAGCTGATAGAGGTGTTATGATTCTATCTTGTTATGCACAATGTTGATTATTCCCTCTGAACTAGCTAAATACATGGGTCTGGGGTAGAGTTCTTCAGAATTGATTGTGGCATCTCGACCGTGTGGTCAACTCGTGGCCCGTGATATGTTTTGTGAATTCTCCGGCCGAAGCTCCAAATAAACCATCAGTGTTTGCCATCAAAGCTCCAGCTATCCTCGTGTCTCTCTGAGTCCTGACTCCAATTGCTTCAGAAGTTTCCCCCACAATTATGTTAGGAGAGAAAATACATCATAATACACAGATGGGTGACAAATGAGAGAGAAACAAACTGAATAGATGATAGAATTGGTATGCAAAAGAGCAGCTGTTTCTACAAAGGTTTACTGAATGTTGTAATAAATATGTCATTTACACAAATTATATGCTAAGGCCTTCAGCGCACCTGATCTCAACCCAGCTGACCACCAATGGGAGATTGCTTAGCAACGTCTACTGCTTTTTATTCTAGATTATTCTTTCATTGGTTACCCATTTGTATTCTCAGGTTATTAAAATGCGACACTATGAGGACAATGCGTTTCTAGTTTTAGCTTGAAGCAGCTGCACTTTTCATCATACTCATTTTTGCTTAGCTGTCGTTCACCACTTGGCCGGATCATTTCACTTCTGAGAAACACAAAACAAAAAGCACAGGATGAGTCCCAAGAACAAAAACACTCACAATGGTAAAAGGCAAGAAATGGAGAACAAAAAATGAAAATGCCAACCACCAATAAGAGATAACACTGGAGTGGGTGTTTACCTATGGGCCGTGAGTTAAACTCTGTGTCCAGAATCTCCAAAGAATGCACCAAGTCCCGCTGTGAGCTTGGCGTGGTCTCTGTAGGATTAGCTGGACTCATCATTTCTTGTTCTTTTTCGTTCTGCATCTGCGCATAGACGTTGAGGCCTGGGATCTTCCTTGAGGAAAGATTTACAGTGAGGCAACGTATACAGACAGAACCCTTAATTTAAAAAAAGGACACAACCCGAGGATCGGTAGTATGCTACCATCTGCAACAAGGCAATATTCCTGTTTACTTCACCAGCTTGTTTGATGATGTGAATTTGCAGGTTTGTATATCTGATTTTTTAATCTGTCTGTAAATCTCCATGACCCTTCGTGCCATTTTCCTTTGAAACTGCACCTTGGACATTATTTAACATTTCAGAAAGGTCAACTGCCCGCATTCAAAAGGCTTACTATCGATTGCAGCTGAAGCCTGACTGATATTTGTTTTGCGAAGAATGACCTGACAAAAGATTCTCACCAGGATATCCACAGATGTGAGCCGATTGTTTTCCGAGAAGCGCTGTGTGCGCCAGTAAAGATGTTTGACAGACAGCTTTCAGCCTTCTGTGGAGCCTCGCAGGCAGCTTTTGTTTACTGAGCTGTCAGAGCGCTATGACACCATTCAGCACCTCTCTATCAACTAGGCTAAAGCGTGATGACTATATAGACATGACATTTCATCAGTGATGGAATGTTATAAAGTGCATTTACTCAAGTACTGTACATATACAATTTGAACGTTTTAAATTAATCCTACTTCCACCTCGTTTTAGAAAGTCAATATTGTGCTTTTTACTCCCCTACATTTAGTTGCAACTATAGTTACTTTATAGATTCAGATTATAGGCTAATACAAATAAATAATTAACCTCTAAATATCCGTACTCATTTAATTATAGGTTAAGATATCTAGCAGCAGTTAAGAAAGGCATTTCAATCACTGACATCGACTATTCCCCAAGATAAGTACTTTTAGTTTTGGTAATTTAAGAATTGTGTACTTTTAACTTAGGTAGGACTTCAAGTAAGGACTTTACGGAAGACAATAATTGCCAGAAATTAATGGTTTTTCTCTCAGTTCTGACTTTTTTCTCAGGATTCTGAAATTGTTCTCACAATTTTGACTTTGATATCAGAATTCTTTATATATTTTCAGAAAAATAATTAACTTTAGGTTATCCCTAAAATATTCTCAACCATTGCCTTAATCCTCTTCCGTAGGACTTTTACTAATAACTGAGTATTTAGGTATCGCTTATTTTACTACAATTATCTGAGTTCTTCTTCCACCTCTGCATTCCGTGAACACTTTACCTCTTGAATTTGTAGATGACAAATACAGCTAAGCCCACAACCACTATTGATAGCAGCATTAGCATAGCAGAGCCACTGTGGTTCTCGTTGGTGTCCACTAGGGGCGCTGCAGAGACAGGGACACAAGATTTGTGGAGTATTAGCAACACACCACACTATCACAACCTGTATTTCTACCCAACTGAATCATGCAATGAGCAGTCCACAAGAAAATGTACACCTATAAATTCATCATTTTTAATATACAGTAGTATCTCTTACTCTTTATCTTATAAGCCCCTTTAGGACAGTAGCAGCATCCCCAATAGGAAGAGGCACACATACTTGTAACGATGCTCACTCTCTGAATGTCTCTGTGTAGCTACATGGTGGGAGCCAATCAGACACAGGGTTATTAGTTGACGGGTGCAGAAAAATTATAAAAATATAACTGACTGTTCACTTGATCTGGGCTCCTCATAGTCTGGATGCTTTATGTTCTGTCCCACTTACATAGCACATGTACAACAACCCTGTGTCCTACAAAATGACATCCCATAAAGCTAAACTGCATCAATCTTTGAATCCAATCATTTCCTCCGTTTTAAGCAGCCTTCCTTCCCTTGATAATGAAGTTGCTCTTTGCTCACCACTAAGTAGAGGCCAGAGCCTTGCGGTTTAAAACAGCTAGCTAGCTTGGTTTCTATTGTAAACCTCCCATGCTAGCTTGCGGCGCTTGATACCACTGTAATCTGATTGGTTGCCAACTAAGGGTGAGTGCTAATCGAGGTCAGTAAAGTCGACTTTATTTAAACTTTCAGCACAATGCATGGTAACATTATATATCGTAAGGAGAAAACTATGTTTGTTATTTTACACAACTTTTGGTTTCACAGAGAAAACCGATCTCATGTTACAGTCATGCCTAAGCAGACTTTGATTGTAATGATTTTTGATTAGTCAAAAACTAACATATTCCAAGATAAATTAACAATGCAGTTCTCATGTCTGGGAATTTTATTTTTAGGAGACCAGGCTTAACAGACACAATCAAAATTGTTTACCTGCTGATAAATGTGATGCGTACACAGTGACTTGGACTCCTGGCCGCAACGTGAACTGGACAAGGTTTTGATTCAAGGCGCTGAGCAAAACCTCAGAGAGCTGTGGGGACACAGAGTGGGACAGGATTTGGAAAACTTAGCTTTATTCAGTAGAACAAACTGTATGTAGAAAATGTCATCAAACCTCAGTCTCATCTATCAATGGTTTTGACTTCCTTATTAACTGTGTTCTGACATTTCAGAGCAAATTGGGTTGTGTTGTTGATCAATCTCTGAAATGATTCATCCAATTAATTGTACGCCATACAAACATAATTGAGTCCAAATATAACTAGCCTTTGAAAGCACTCACAAATATCCTAGCCTGATAGTCAGTTGCCAAGTACAACAGGTGGTCAACATAATTGAAACACTTTGTGAAACGAAATGTAGCTTAAGATAAGGTAACACAGGTGTGTTATTGGTTATTTTTTGAGACTTTGATTATTTCTTTCAAAACTCACAAGCTGAATCAGATAAAGGCTTCATACATGGCTTTTTTGGCCACTTGGGAGCAGCAAAACAAGCAACCAACACAACATTGACCACTTTTCACCTTGCAAAATTGATTTGTCCAACACGTTAGCAAACAATCATGTTTACGCAGATTATTTCTAAAGGGTTTGTGAAGAGCAGAACAGAAACACAACTCAGACTTTTTAATGGCATTTTTTACTAATAAATGTTCAGCTATCAGCCAATTGCTAATTTTGGTAAATGGCTAATATTTTTTTTTTGTTTGTCGATTTAGTTAAACTAAACTAAATCAGTGGTTAAAAGGGTTTATAGTTCTGATGGGAAATGCAGATTTAGATTTTTGAAAGGTTATTGTTTTTGCGACTACAATCTGGTTGCAATCCTAATAAAGCATTTTATGTTTGAATATGATGCCTGAGGACCGTACCGTGCCACCCAAAGCACGTTTGTTACAATGAGTGACCCTTTTCAAATAAAAGATAGTTATTTAGTTATATCAAAAGTGCAGTTCTTGAAATAAATAAAAATAATACATCAAGCGGAACAGAAAAATGACAAGACAACATTAAAGTGACTACATACTGCACATTACATGAATACTTTGATGCACTTTAAACTCAGAACATCTTAAAGGGAGTGATACCTGCATTATTTGTAAGTGCCCGTGACCTAAAGAAACCTCACTGCCTCCACCAACAACCCCATCTGAGCTCTCCTATTTATGTAAGACTCTTTGTCTGTGGGACCTTTTTCAGGCGATGCATAATGCATAAGATGCAGCCTCACTTGATCTCTGCTTTCCAGACTGGCAAGTAACCTCTTGCACTGAGAGCATCTAACTCTGATATAAATCTGGCAGATTACCCTGACCCGAAGGTAAACCATAGAAAGCCCAACCTTTTTCCCCCTAGATCCTTTACTCACGCAAATATAATCTCTATCCCGAGGCTTTAATCCTTTCACAAATAAATGAAATGTGGCTCTTTTTGAAAGATTTTCCAAAACCACAAAACTGTTTTTCTCTATTTAATCTGCCTTTATGAGCATAAATGGATTGACAAAACTAAACAAATGTTCCATTTCTCTCTGCACATCCAAGTTTTTCCTCGGCTTCATTTATCTTATCTCCCTCATTTGCCAAATTAATTGTGATATGATTCAATTACATTTCACATTACACGCTTTTATCCAAAGCAACTTACATACGTTCAGTACTGTGGGCAATCCCCACAGGAGCAATTTGGGGTAAAGTGTCTTGCCCAGGGACACAACGACATGCTGACTGCAGTGGGACTCAAACTTGTAACCCCCTGATTCAAAGTTCAGCGCACTATTCACTGAGCCACTGATCCACAGCCTCCCATGATTAATTTCTGCAGAGCTTCATTCCCCTGCTTTATATTTCTTAGCAGTTTAAATTTAGACTATGCTTTGACTAATTACTTTTTCCCACTGTATACCAGGGTCAGTAAATTATACATGGTATTAAGCAGAGCGCGCTCTACACTTTTAAGATGCCAACCTTGAATGAGGATTTATCATCAGCGTGTCGAGGAGAGGATCTTTGCGGGAGTTTAACCAGGTGTGAGCGGAGGGAGGGAAGAGGAAGATCGAATCCCTTCCAGTTTCCTTCCCTACACATGCCTGTGGAATTCTTCCCACGGAGAGGCGGTCCAACATTATTATCAGTCATTATCTATTACGTGGGGCTCCCAGCTAATTTGGACCATCTTGATACACTTGTGATTCACTGAACTGATCAAGCAGGACAATTTCGTTGTCTGGCCCCAGACTCCAACCCC